CAAACTCACCACTGATTGTATTGCTAAATAAAAGAGAACCACACATTTTTTTTTCTCAAAGTGTGCTTGTGGACAGTTGTGGTCCACTAATCAAGAAACTTTAGAGGTAGTAGGCCTTTTTGCCCAAAACTCATGGTCAGTCCTTTACTGATGGTAAAGAAGGCAGAGCTGTTTTCAAGTACTCCTATAGTCCTTTTCAGTCTTGATGGAAAATCAGAAAAAGAAAGAAAAATAACATATTGTCCTTTACCTCTGGTATAAAAATATCTTGCACAATGCCTGCGAAAGCTACCTGCTTAAAATGCATACTTTACTCAAATTAGAATGCCAACACACTAAATATCCCTCAAAGTTTCCAAAATTCACTCTTTTCTTCATACTATTCTTTTTAATGTAGGAAGACATGCTACGCCACTCTTGAATTTCTGGGATTATAAAGGATACACTTTCTGAATAATTTACATGTCAGCTAAAATAGCTAGAGGTGCTATTCTTGTATTGCAGTAAAAACTATAATGATAATGCTTTTGAGTTGGATCAATAAGCAATAGAGAATTTGCCCAGGGGACATGAAAGCATATGTGGAAATTTCAATTAGGAGCCAGTCCACTATACAAGCCAAAGTTGCACATGTCTCTATTTTACAGACTGAGAACTACATAAAGTTCATTATATGAAATCACGATTGAACTCAACTAATGTCAAGAATTCAAAATGAGAGCAACAACTGAGCAGAAGGTGGACAGCAATTCCCACTGTTGAAGGAAAGGGAAGGGAAAGGAAGGGAAGGAAAGGAAAGGGGGAAAGCCATTAAAAAATCACATTTTTTTCCTGTTAACAACCTTTATCATAAATTGATGCAAGTGTAGTGCGATCTGCCAGCATAATATGAAGAAGTATCAAGCTGTCATATAAAATGGGTACATACTGGAACAATGGGAAAAGATGGATTAAGGCGGAGATTAACATGGATTTTAATTACTAATCAGGGAAAACAATTATAGCATCACCAACCTGAGGCCTTGGATCAAACAGTTGATTATTATGCCAAATTTCTGATTTCTCTAGCAACAATGAATAGTGGAGACAATTAATCCAAAGAACTAACTTCTTCAAACTCAGATTAGCAAGATTAATGTGGAAAAACTGCCATAACAACAGAAATTACAACAAGTGCACTTTGCTTTCATATAGGAATCGCTATCTTGGCGAATCAAAATAGACAGATTTATTATTCTTCATATACTCTTCATGCAAGAGAGAGGACTCTTTCTCTTTCTTTTTCTTTCTTTCTTTCTTTCTTTCTTTCTTTCTTTCTTTCTTTCTTTCTTTCTTTCTTTCTTTAATAAGGCATGCCAGCCTGAACCTGAGATTATTTACAAAATGGTTACTAGCCTCCTTACCATGGTGATAACTAGCGATCAATGATTTTAATTTGCCCTCCTGTTGCTAGTCAAGGGGCAATGATGGGAATTTCAGTGTCATCAACAATGTAGCATTTAGCACTCTAGTAATAAAAAAATGCAAAATCCATACTAGAGAATATTACAAACATTAAACCACCAGGACAGCTACTGTACATGTGGAATTTCATAAACCTCACCAATGAATGATCTTGAAATCAGAAAAAAGGAAGGCACGACCAAGCAAGTCGATTAGACTTTACAAATACTAATGAGTCATAGACTATATAAGATGCAATGGGAGAACAAATCCCTACTCAGTGCTTCTGCTTATCTATTAAAAAGCATACAAAATAGACTCACAATATACAAACTGTATGTTTTTGTATACAATGCATTACTTAGGAATTTATGGATCCCTTGACAGAAGATTAGATAGGCTAATTATTATTAGCCATGGCAGAATCATAATTCTGAAGAAACCTACCACTTCCAATTGTCAATAGAAATCCCCATCTCCTTCAGCATTCCACTGTTGAAGAGATTCTAAGGTTTCACCTACCATTTCTCCCCGCATTGATTCTACCCTGTCCTTTAGAAATACAGAGAATATCTGCTTTATTCTTAAAATGTCTATTTTATAGAGGGTCAGGCTCTTCCTATTCAGAAGTAAAGTATCTCTGGACAGCTATCACTGGAAGAAAGAAAACAAGCCCTGTCAGGATTGTTAGCTTCATGCATTGGATTGCTTGACTATTTGGATACTTAGCCTAATCTATCAGGGATTTTCTTATAACTTCAGATCCTTATTTATGCACACTGGATTATAACATCCATGCACTGTTAACACCCACACACGACAAACATTTAATAAATTCTCTCTGATTTCCCAAAACATCCTTGAGCCAGAAGAATATAGAGTATGCATTATATAAAAAAGACAAGGGAAATTTTCACTTTAGGATCATAAACCTTTTGCCAGAATAGTGATGAATCTATACCTACTGAGAAATAAAATCTCCAGTAAGCAAAACGCCCCCAAAAAACAAACTTTGAAAGAAGGCATTGAGGAATGCCATTGGAGATCATTTACTCTTCATTCGGTGCCATGTTTCCTTGGGTCTGTGCATGTCGCTCACATTTTCCCCCTCCCTATAACTGCTGCAGATTCAGATTCAGATTTAATTTATTTGTATGCCGCCCTTCTCCGGGAGGGACTCAGGGCGGTGAAC